CCTACTCCCCCAATCCTCACTGTCTATGGAGACCAGTGATAAATCCCAATAGATGAAAAGCAGGTGGCTCGTGCAGTGTGCAGCATAAGAGGTGAGGAGTGAGGCTTCAGCAAGGTGATCCACCCTTCCTCAGTACAGACAGCCCAGGTGGTCACAACAGGAGGAGAGACTAGAAATCCAAGGCCAGTGTTTGTCGAGGGGTAATTTGTTGACATTTGGGGCCTTTGACACAATGATGAGTCTTCCTTAATATCTCTAGGTGAATCCCAACCCTCTGCTTTTATACTGAGCTCTCAGAAATGCCAGTACTGTAGGTCCTAATGTCACACATGGGGCATTGGCAGTATTCTCCTTGTGTCCACGTATTAGATGCTGAGTCACACATATTGGATGCTGTCTCCTGACCACAGGTTCACATCAGCATCCCTCAGCTGGACTGACTCCCTGGAGAAAAGGCAATGTTCAGGACAGATAACGGGGTTCCCTGGCTGACTTATATTGAAGTGGAAAGGCAATGAGGAGCAGAGGTCAAGAGTCAGCAGACAATAGAAGCCATAAGCCACAGCATTAGTTCTCTCAGAAACAGCAGACCAAGCCCCTGAGGGGCCCTGCAGACAGGAGCCTCTCCTCCTGCGCTTGCCTGAGCTCTGATGGGCAGAGCAAGAGGCCTATTTCCTCACTGGGCCAGTGAATAACTAGGGCACATCCACAAGGTCACAGTTATTCATTTAAATTCCAGCTCTAATCAGCAGGCAGAGCCTGAGAAATTATCCATTCTGAGGGGAGAGGCTGACAGAGAACACCATAAACAACCCTCAGGGGAGAGTGAAGGAGTGCCAAGAGGGGTGCAGAAAGGAGGGCTCTTTCCACTCCTCTCCCTTCTTTTCACATTCCAAATGCTTCCTCCTCTTAGCAGAAAGGTCTGGAACATTCAGGAGTGGGAAGAAGGTTGAGGGCAGCTCAGGGACAGGACTGCCACCCACAAGCTGTCTAGGGAGACCAGTGATAAATCTCATTGGTAAATAAACTGATAAATCTGATAAATACCTGACAAGGTCCCTTCCAGGAAATGCATGGGCTACATATCTTCGGAGAGGTCCTTTATGCTTTGGAGGCCTCAGTTTCCTTAACTGTAATGTCTGTGCTCCTTGAACAATACACCCCTTAAGTTCTACTGTGTTTCAGGACCCTATAGAGTCAGATCTCCCCTTAGGCTTATAGTCACTCCCTCTGTTTAATAGTCACCAGTTGGGTTCTATGATCTGTGTACTATGCACAGATACACTAGTACAGACCTAAATACTAGCCCATGGGACCACTATGGAAATGTGGGCTTTAGAACAACAAGAGTACAGACTCTGATGGCATGTGAATTCTGAGGTTCTGGTCTAGTCACTGGCAGGAGGTGACCACTGGAGCTCCCTGCAAGGTTCCTCATTTGCAGTACAGACAGTGATGGGCACCTGCAGGAGCTAACACGAAGATGCAGGATTCAGCCATCTTCCAAAGACCTGCACTTGGCACTAGAAATGTGTGCTGTTGCTTTTGTCATTTTGAGTCTCTTCCCCTAGCCTGCGGTGAGAGGCTTTGAACTTACCCCATGTTGCAGTCTATCCTGCTTTTATGACAGAGCTATCCAGAACTCACTCACTGTTCACTCACTCAACAGTTTGCAGCCTGTCTCAGGAACTCTGGGAAAGGTGTTGCCCACAAGTCCTATCTCAAACTACATTGTACAGTAGGGTTATTTCTAACCAATGTGCTCAGCATGTAAAGTTCATCAGTTAATCAATCATCCCTTTTTAGTCCTACAGCAGTCTCTGGGTAAACAGATACATTAGCTCATAAAATCCCCAATATGTCTTCCTGAGGGAGAGGGGAAAAAAAAATCAGAGAATCACTAAAGGCTTCAGGCATGAGAACCACAAGGCTGTTGACTGCAGACTGCCTGGCAAGGAGTTGAGAGAGGATAGAAAGCTAACCACTAACCTCCAGCAGGCCCAACCTGCACAGTCCACTTCCTGCCATATCCATGGTCACAACTGAAAGATCTAAAGCAAAGATTTTCTTCAGGTGTAGAAACCACACCAAAATAAATAAATAAATAGATAGAGAAAGAAAGAAAGAAAGAAAGAAAGAAAGAAAGAAAGAAAGAAAGAAAGAAAGAAAGAAAGAAAGAAACAAAGAAAGAAACAAAGAAAGAAACAAAGAAAGAAACAAAGAAAGAAACAAAGAAAGAAACAAAGAAGGAAGGAAGCTGAAGGAAAGGCAGGATTGGCAACCATCCCTAGATACTTCAAAAGTAAAATGAAGGTCACAAAATTTAGACTTAGGCTAGAATGCCCTCTTGGTCCTGCTATTTAATAACTGGGTGAGTGTAACACATCACTTAACCTCCTTGGACTCCCACTTAATCAGCAATAAAATGGGGCTCAGGCCACATACCTCAGAAGGTTATTAAGAAAATAAAATGAGAAAATGGTCATTAAATGGAAATATGTCAGGGAAGAATGGCATTAACCATTACTATCATCTAAAGAAGGCCGATCACAGACCTGCACCCCTTTGAATAGATCAAAGAAGGTCTGTGGTCCCTTCTATCACTCTCTTCTGCACAGGAATAATATGGTGACCTTGTAAGAATCAGAAAAAGCCTGAACACAGGCTGGGACAGAGAAGTGCAGGTTGAGCTTCAGCTCCACTTGTTCCTCAGCAGGAAGACCTAAACCTTCCCTGGAAACATCTCTGCCATCAGTCAGGAAGAACAGAGCTAAGTGGAACATTGCAAACAAGGCCTGAGGCATTGATCTTACTCCTTCACTTCCTTGGAGTAAATATTCTGCTACCGTAGAGGCTTCTCCTGTTCACTCTCTTCAAAGTAATGATTTCTTCCTTACAATATTCCATTTTCTCCACACCACGCAGCAGTCACCATATGCTAAAATATGCATTGATGCATGTCTGTAATGTGTACGCATGCACGCGCATATATGAATGTGTGCATGTCCATGTACCTGTCCCCATTTAGAATAAAACTACATAAAACTAGGGATTGTCTTCTATTTGGTTTATCGTCTTATCCCCGGTACCTGGTTCATACGTATTTGTTGAACGAAAGCTTGAACAAAAATCAAAAATCCTCTGAAATAGAAAGAATGGATTTAATATGTATGTATGTATGTATGTATGTATATGTTCATGTATGTGCAAGTGAATGCCCAGAGGCATGCACGTGATTTGTGGACCAGAAGACATTTTTGGGTGTCATTCTTCAGGATATGTCTACTTTTTCTTTTCTTTTTTTTTTTTCAAGTAAGATCTCTCACCAGTGTGGAAACAGCCATGAAGTCTAGACTGATGGGCTAGCAAGCCCCAGCGATCTGCCTGTCTTCACTTCCCTGGGGCTAAGGGTACAAAGTATGACCCTGCACTAAGATATATATGGGGTCTAGGGATAGAACTCAGATCCTCATGTTTGCACAGCAAGCACTTTACCCCAGTAAGTTTTGACTCCAAGCGCCTAGTGGTATTTTTGTGGGAAGTGTTGTCTGTGCCGTGTTTCAAATAGAGATGAAAGACGGGCAGAAACATAGCAGAGAAAACATCCTCTGTATTTGGTAAGAATAACTGTATTGTACTCTTACATTGTATAATGCCATTTATAACAATGATCAGAAGGACCCTACCAAAGTATGAGTCATTGTTTTAGATATTCAGAAAGAATAAAGTATATATTGATCTGAAGAAAGGGGTGACAGTAAAGGAAATGTCATATTACCTCTAAGCAAAAACAAACAAGTGAGCAACAATACCATTAGGAGTACTTACAAGCTCTTCAACCATTGGGTGTTTTCAGCGATGAACCTAGCACATACCTTTAAACTATGAATTGGTTTTACAGTTCAGCTACTACTGCATGACTTTTGGCAAAACATTTAACCTGTCAGTCTTTAGATTTTATGTACTTTAAATTGTATAAAACAGTGCTGACCTTATATTTGTGCCCTAAGGATTAAATATAAAAAGGACTAGCCAGACACGATGGCACACATCCCAGCACTTGGGGAGGTGGATCTCTGTGAGTTCGAGGCCAGCCTGGTCTATAAAGCAAGTCCAGGACAGCCAAGGCTACACAGAGAAACCCTGACTTGAGAGAGAGATGAAAAAAAAAAAGGAATAAGATATCTAAGCTGTTCTCCCTTCTTGTCTGTAATTCACTATTCTTTTTAACTCAAAGTTCCAGCTTGCTTAGAATAGATGTCAAACCATTCTAAATCCTCTCCTATTTCATATCTATGAATTATTGGGTCTTCTATTATGGTCCTATATATTCACATACATGTCTATGTCCAAATACACATAAAGCTTAAAAATAGAATTCTGGGTGAGCATTCACTTTCAATAGATGTATGCAATTATCACAAAGATGGGCTTTCTATGTTTCTATTAACAAAATCCAATCAAGCCCTCATTTTTCTTTGAACAGTGAACATGTATTACTTGCATAACTGGATAATAAATATAATATTATCAATGTCATTATAGAAAATAGGAATTTCTTACAAGAAAGAAACCTTCGTTTACCCATATAATTTCTGGGTTGAGTAGGTCATATCACCAGCTTTTAACCACAGGAAGTTATAGCTATAAAACAAGGCAAAAATGTTCATTGCATTGGATAATACACAGCTAAAATCCTTTTAAAAATATATTCCAAGAATGTTAATTTTCCACTTCTTTGATTCACGTAGAATTTATAAGGAAGCAATCACTTAAGCTGGGGAAACACATTCCATTGGTTTGAAAATTGGTTCTTCAAAGCCAGAAGGAAAAAAAAAAACACCTTACTTCAAGGCATTTCTTCTTCTAAACCAAAAATCAGTGGAAAATGCAACATACTAAGATTTTTAATCCCTAGGAAAAGGGGTCACTCAGCATCAAACCATGCACAGTCTAGCAGAAGGCAAATTCCCACGACAGCTGTGCAAACAAAGACTCACCTGGACCTTGACCGACATCTGTGGCAGCAATTTCAAAGCAGAGGAAAAGGAGAGGAGAGAGAACGGAAGACGAGTGTTAGCAGCGCACCCACGCACAATACCATGTGTTCTTGCATGCCTCCGAAGGTCATGCAAGCACCCACATTTCCACCTTCACCCAAAAACCACCCATGCAAGCCAAGGAATCAAGCTCCCTTTTCACTGTGCATGTAGTAAAAAAGGCAAGCCTCCCATCTGTCCGGAAACACATCATCCTGGAATCAGATAGGGCCCCAAAGAGCCAAGCAACCTAGAATCCTAAAAGAATATTGGTTAAAATATTCTGGTTGGTTTCTGCACGCTGACACCCACGCAAATCTTCCTCTTTTCCAGATACCAAACACCGGACACGAAGACAAGCGAGGTTTCCCAGCAGAGAGAAAGAACAAATTAACCACTCCCTTGAGGAAGAAAGAAAAAGAGGCATCAGCATTAAGAGCAAGCTGCAGCATTAGTTAGCTTGTAGGGCGGAAGGACAGAAGATGACAAAACATTTACAGACCCCTCCATGTTCACAGTGACCATTCTTCATCACAGACAGCAGTGTGTGCATGAGACTGTGTGTGAACCAAACATTCACCAGAGAAACTGTAACTCTGCTTCCCTGCACATACAATTTTTTCTTCTGGTTTCTCACCCCATCACTAACCACTGTAATTGAACACAGAGCCCCAAAAAGGTTGACATACGAATTAAGCCAATGAACTTTTAAAAACACACAGAATAGTTCACTCCCGCCATCTTGATCAACAATGGGATGTCTCTTTTCCTCCTCCCACCCTCACATGTGAAAATAGGATTGTGCTAAGAAACCTCAGTAGAGACTACCTTAAGGCATTGTTTAAAAACTCAGATAGTTGGTGGCATTTCCTACAGCTGCAGCAGCCAGGAGGCTATTTAGGAAACCACTGACCATCAAGAAATTCTGGTGGATGCATTTAGAATCATTGAATAGTGGATCTTGGAAAAACCATAGGCTTATCTAGTTTGATATTGTTGTTGTTGTTGACGTGGTAGGTAAAGACAATGATTTTTTTTTCCCAAGGTTACACAGCTAGTTCAGAGAAAGAACCCAGAAAATAGCCCTCCATCTATGAGTCCCATCTATTTCAACATTTCACTCAACTAAAGCACAGATCTTTCAAGACATATAGAATCCAGTTTACTTTGCAGGGTAAAGGGGCACCCTTAAGCCACAGGAAAGACAGGTGAGAATCTTCTACTCACCCTGTGAGTAGATCATGGTTAATCCTCCATGGCTTTAACCTACTGCCAGAACAAGACAGGTAATGTTCTCCATGCCAATAATGAAACATCTGCGATCAGATTTGTACAGCACATCCTTAGGGCTTTTATCCCAGGAAAACCCAGGCTTTTAGCAGATTGAGCTGTGCCCTAGCATCTGGGAGGGACATCATCAGAGCAACAGCTGAGGATTTACTCAGTGTGCACCCTGCAATCCCTGGTAGCTATATATGCTCAAAGACATATCTAGAGAACTCTGAATCATTCCTTAGACATACCCCCTTTCAGGTTTTCTGGTAAGTTAGATTTAGGGGTGGAGTGATGAGAGAGGGGAAGAAAAGAGGTAAAAGAGAAGAGGTGGGTAGGAAAAGGATGCTGCATGAATAACTAAGTGGGGCCGTTAACTGTGACTGATGGATCGCCTAGAATAGTGGTCTCATTAAAACACCCCTTAATTAAACAGGATATCTTCAGTGAGAATGTCAACACTATTGTTCATGTGCTCTTTGAAGGCTCCAAGACCCAGTGAGACAGGATCCCTTGGAACTCCAATGGTCTTTAGATGTTAGTTACCCACTTTGGTACCCTGATTGCAATCCTAAACTTGGAGACAGACAGGTCTGATCTCACATCCCAGCTTGCTCTGAAGCCTTAGGCCAATCATGAACTTGTCTCTAATTCTTCCTCAGCAATGAGAATGGGAACAGACTCCCCTCCATGGGGGTGTTAGGAGACTTAAATGCTTGCAAAGCACTTAGTACCAGGTAAACACTGTATAAATGGCAACAGCTCTGATTGTTATCATTCTGAATCACCACAGATGGAATTACCAACATTTATTGACCAGCTGGTTCACTGGAGACTTTGAGTGACCACAGGAACTAAGCCTGTGACTCGGGTTCAATGCTTCTACTTATGAACTGGGATGAATGCTCCAACACCCCCCCCTTCTCTCACCCCACTCATCAGTGCAAAGTAAGGTGGGAAGGGTTTGGAGTCTGGTGTGAGTAGGACCAGGGGTTAAAACAAGTCCCATGATTATTTCCTCTATTTTCTCTCTTGGACTTTAACTCAGTGCAGTTGTAGTCACACAAAAACATAGTAAGTCTTTTCATCACAGAGGGCCAACGAAAACACCTTAAAAAAGTCCTTTGCACTAGAAAGGGGTGGGGGAGAAATAGCTGAGCCCGGTTCCTGGCTGCGGCAGTGACTGCAGGCAGTTCTGATCATTGTTCCAGCTGTAGGAATGTAGACACCTTACCCTTGGTGCAAGAAGCGGTGAGTTATTCGAATGTCTGGACTCAGTTCAGAGCCTTTCCTGCCCCAAAAGAAGTGGCAAAGGCAGGAGGTAAAGAGAAGAGGTATCCTTGGGGTGGGAGGACATCTAAAAGGAGAGAATGAGAAACTTCTCTGCTCCGGTGTTGTCTCTTCTGTAACAACCCCTGCTCTCTTCTAGGGAACCTCTTGTCCCACCTTTAATACATGTGGTTGGTAAAGATAAGCCCTGTTCTAAGAGGAGCCCTGTGACTCTGCCCCGACTGTGGGAATATTCTTCCTTCTGGACCCGTAATTCTCCCATTAACAGACATGTGACCCAGGTCCAATGAGAGTCTTCCAAGGGAATTGTATTGGAATTATTAAAAATAATACTAGCGCCCATCTTTAACACCATATGAGACTACTTCCATACCTGATGATGAAAGCAACATAGGAGAAAACAAGGCTTCTTTGTTGGAGAGGGGAAGGCTAACTGACCTAGAATAAAACCCCAGCTCTGCCTCTTATCCACAGGCAGTTGCTGCAGCATCTCTAAGCCTCGCTCTCCTCTTCTATAAACAGAGATCCTCAAGGTATCTAACTTAGTAAGCTGTATCCATGGAAATTCTGTATTCATATGCAATACATATTAATGGAGTGCCAATTATAGGCCAGGCCATGCTTTCAACATGGAAGACACAAGCAATGAATGAATGAAACAGGCAATATTCTTGAGTTTAAATGGGAGATCTAAACAATGCAAATACACATAATGTAGCATGACATGGTGACTAGTGTCATGGAGGAAAAAGAAATCAGTAAGGCAGCAGGAGTCTCCATGTCAGAAAAGATTATTAAAGAAGCAGGTGAGAAGAAGTAATGGACTGGTACCTAGAAACGGTGAGTGCACCTGACGAAGACTGTTCAGGCAAGAAAATGGCACCTGTCAAGGCTGCAGGCAGGACCCACTCTGCTGGCTATTTCTACTGATAGGACCAGAGGTCTGAGGGCTGGTTCCCTTAACCTGCCACTTCCCTCCAAGCTCTGTCACTCACGTGCAGTCTTCAGCAGGGCACAGATGCTCAAAAGGTTCGCAAGGGTAAACAAACCCTGATGGCAATGATTCCTGACCTAATCTAAAACCAGCTCCCTCAAGACTTCTCTACTACAACCAAGGCATGCAAGCGAGGAAAAGAAAGGATTTGAACCAACCACCACCCTTTGCCCACTTTCTTCGGTTTCACAACCAGGTGAGAAGAAATCTGGGCATATCTGCCTGCACTCATGGATGCTGACAATACACTCAACAATGACTTCAGCCACAAGTTCAAAGAAGAAATTTATTGAGTGGGGGTGTTTCTAACTGCAGAAGAAAAAAATAAAGGACCCTCCATCTAGCACAGTTACCCTTGGAAAGGTGACCTTGTCTGGGGAAGTTCCCTACCACCCACCCTTCATTTGGACTAGATCAAGTCAAGAGTCCAAAATTCCCCTACTTTCTTCCCAATCCCCTCACATCCCTAGTGGAGGTTTCGGAAACATGGAGTAGGATGCACAGCCAGACTCCTGAAGGACAGCCCCAGCCAAACCTCAGGGGACAGCACCTGGTGAACTCTGCCTTCAGTCTGACCTATTTTCTAGAAGAGAAAATAGAATACAGTGGCACTCTGAAAAACTACAGGCCCAGAACTGTGAGAAAATAAAACACCAAAGGGTGGCTGAAAAAGTGCTGGCACTGGTGAGCATACTGTTTCATCTGGTGGTCAATGGCCCTTGCTTCTACAATTTGCCCTGCTTTTTGTTCATTTAAAATTTGATATAAGGAGCCCAGCAGTGATGGTTACACCTTTAATCCCAATATTGGGAGTCAGAGGCTGACGGATCTTCATGAGTTTCAACCTGGTCTACAGAGTGAGTTCTAGGACAGTCAAGGCTACACAAAGAAACTCTGTCTTAATAATAATAATAATAATTGGTACAAGGCTAGGGAGATGGCGGCTGAGCAGATAAAGTACTTATAACACAAGGTGAGGGGCCAAGTTCAAATCCCAAGAACCAATGTAAAAAGCCAAGCAAGGGGCAGAACATCTTAGCAACTCCTGCGCTCCTAAGGTGAGATGGAAGTCAGAGACAGGAGAAACCCTGGAAGCTTGCAGGCCAGCAGCCTGGCGTATGCTGCATGAAAGGACAAGGAAATCGTTCCCCAAAAAGGGTGGAAAGTAAGCACCAACTCGGAAGTTGTCCTCTGACCTACACACACATGCTTACATATATATACACTTATAACCACACACATCATACACACACCTACACACTGTCTCATCGGGTTGTCAAGAAAAAAGAATGGATGCACACGATTTACGTATGTGTCTCATTGGGTCAGTCCTGGTGTCCAAGGCTGCTGTTCCATACATGAACTCTACGTACTGGCACAGGGAGTGCTGGGGATATTAGCCTCAGAAATAGTAACAGCAACT